CCTTCCTTCCCTTTCTTCCTTCCTTCCTTCCTTCCTTCCTTCCTTCCTTCCTTCCTTCCTTCCTTTCTTTTCTTTCTTTTCTTTCTTTCTTTCTTTCCTTCTTTTTTCCTGGAGAACATGCAGGTTTATTACATAAGTATACATGTGCCATGGTGGCTTTCTCATCCCGTCATCTATATTAGATATTTCTCCTAACGCTATCCCTCCACTAGCCCTCCACCACCTGACAAGCCCTGGTGTGTAATGCTCTCCTCCCTGTGTCCATGTGTTCTCATTCCTCAACTCCAACTTATGAATGAGAACATTTGGTGTTTGGTTTTCTGTTCCTGTGTTAGTTTGCTGAGAATGATTGTTTCCAGCTTCATCCATGTCCCTGCAAAAGACATGAACTCATTCTTTTTTATGGCTGCATAGTATTCCACATTGTATATATGCTACATTTTCTTCACCTAGTCTAATACTGATGGGCATTTGGGTTGGCTCCAGGTCTTTGCTATTGTACACAGTGCTGCAATAAACATACATGTTATTCTGTCTTTATAGTAGAATAATTTATTATCCTTTGGGTGTATACCCAGTAATAGGATTGCTGGGTCAAATGGTATTTCTGGTTCTATATCCTTGTGGAATTGCCACACTGTCTTCCACATGGTTGAATAATTTTCACTCCCACCAACAGTGTAGAGGTGTTCCTATTTTTCTACATCCTCTCCAGCATCTGTTGTTTTCTGACTTTTTAATGATCACCATTCTAACTAGCATGAGTTGGTATCTCATTGTGGTTTTGATTTACATTTCTCTAATGACTAGTGATGATGAGCTTTTTTTCATGTTTGTTGGCTGCATAAATATCTTCCTCTGAGAAGTGTTTTTTTCATATCTTTCACCTACTTTTTAATGAGGTTGTTCATTTTATTTGTTGTAAATTTGTTTAAGTTTTTATAGATTCTGGATATTAGCCCTTTGTCAGGCGGATAGACTGCAAAAATTTTCTCTCAGTCTATAGGTTGCCTTTTCACTCTGATTATAGTTTCTTTTGCTGTGCAAAAGCTCTTTAGTTTAATTAGATCACCTTTGTTTATTTTGGCTTTTGTTGCCATTGCTTTTGGTATTTTAGTCAAGAAGATTTTGCCCTTACCTGTGTCCTGAATGGTATTGCCTAGGATTTCTTCTAGGGTTTTTATGGTTTTAGGTCTTAGTTTAAGTTTTTAATCCATCTTGAGTTAATTTTTGTATCAGGTGTAAGGAAGGGGTCCAGTTTCACTTTTCTGCATATGGCTAGCCAGTTTTCCCAGCATGATTTATTAAATAGGGAATCCTTTTCCTATTGCTTGTTTTGGTCAGGTTTGTCAAAGATCAGATGGTTGTAGATGTGTGGTGTTTTTTATAAGGCCTATGTTGTGTTCCATTGGTCTATATATCTTTTTCGGTACCAGTATCATGCTGTTTTGGTTACTGTAGCCTTGTAGTATAGTTTGAAGTCAGATAGTGTGATTCCTCCAGCTTTGTTCTTTTTGCTTAGGATTGCCTTGGCTATGCAGGCTCTTTTTTTCATTCCATATGAAGTTTAAAGTAGTTTGTTCTAATTCTGTGAAGAAAGTCAATGGAAGCTTGATGGCGATAGCATTGAATTTATAAATTACTTTGGGCAGTATGGCCATTTTCACAATATTGATTCTTCCTATCCTTGAACGTGGAATGTTTTTTCATTTGTTTGTGTCCTCTTTTATTTCCGTGAGCAGTGGTTTGTAGTTCCTGAAAACATCCTTCACATCTTGTAAGTTGTATTCCTAGGTACTTTGTTCTCCTTGCAGCAATTGCAAATGGAAGTTCACTAATGATTTGGCTCTCTGTTTGTCTATCACTGGTGCATAGGAATGCATGTGATTTTTGCACATTGATTTTGTATCCTGAGACATTGCTGAAGTTGCTATCAGCTTAAGGATATTTGGGCTGAGACAAGGATATTTTGAGCTGTTCTGTTCTATTGGTCTGTATATCTCTGCTCATGAATAGGAAGAATCAATATCATGAAAATGGCCACACTGCCCAAAGTAATTTGTAGATTCAATGCTATTACTATCAAGATACCACTGAGTTTCTTCATAGAATTAGAAAAAAAAACTACTTTAAATTTCATATGGAAGCAAAAAACAGCCTGTATTTTCCTAAGCAAAAAGAATAAAACTGGAGGCATCATGCTACCTGACTTCAAGCTATACTACAAGGCTACAGTAATCAAAACAGCATGGTACTGGTACCAAAATGGATCAAGCTATTTCTATCTGTCTTTCTTCCTTTCAGGTAAACATATTAATTTTCTAGGAATAAGAATCTGTTACCAGGTGGTGTGAAATGAGAGATGCATGTACTCCAGCTGGAGGTTATGGGGAATAACGAGGCTCTAATAGATGCTTCAGAGCTTTTCAGTCTAGTCTTGTGAGTTCATTTCATTTCAAATGTCCCCCTTTTTGGGATCTTTAAGCTGCTGTGTCAAACATAAAAACAACCCTTCCTACTTTCTACTTTGTGAGTGAGTTTGAGTATTAGCATACATTTTTGCAAATTTGCTCCCATTCTCATTTGGTTGATATTTTAAGATATTTTAATTATAAAACTGTGAGGAAAGAATACAGCTAAGTATCACCCAAAGTAAAACAATGTGTCAAGATTCAGGGAGTCAAATTTACATCAGAAGTTATCTAGTATAAGAGATGAATACATGAACTTTTCCTCTTTACTCTTCCCAATTTTGTTAGTTATAATAACATGATAACCTCAAAGCTGATGAACTTGTATTCTATTCATAACCACATTTAGAATATGCTAAATATATGTAATAAATACATACTGCGTTGTATAAAATTTAACATTTTCCTTTATTTGTATCATATTCAAGTACTATTGCATCTTCAAATATTATTGTGTATTGTGGCCTTTTGGGGGAGCAGAGAAACAAATCTATAATTTTACAATGAAAGTAAATAGATAAATGGGATTTAATATACATAAATTCATTTATAAGCAACTTTTAATGTTTTACTCTTAATAAAAATACTAATCTTATTTATTAAGCACAGTACCTTACCTAGATAGACAATAACTCTACATTTCTGCTAAAAAATTTGTCTACTATTTTGACTGTATATTTCTAATGGGAGAGTCAGAATATGAACAACACTGTTTTACAGTGCTCATAATTTACTACTACATTTTTTCTATAAACATGGCTAAGAAAAAATCTGTTAAACTAAGTGAACCCTAGTAAATTCAATTACTGACTGAAAAAACGGACATGTGAGTGCTCAGACTCAGTGGGCTTAAAATTGGCTGGTCCAATTCAAAATGTAATTTAAGTTGAGGCATCACTTAATTGAGCTGCAATGCCATCTTCTAATAATACTCATTAATGTTGAAATAGACCTTTTAAACTACAAAGTGCTTTGTAAATATAAACCCTCTTTTTCTATCACCATGAAACCAAAATTGAGTTAGTACTTGTATTCCCATTTTACAGAGAGAGAGGGAAACAGAGTGTATATTCATGTCCATACAGAGTAGTTAAATAATTTTGAAGCGAGTCAAAGGTCATTAATAGCTTCAAAAAGACTAATAAACAAGGTTAAATAGTACTTGGATTCACAATAGCTTCATTTGGTGGTCCATTTAAATTCCTACGATATTGAGACACTGGGGAGCTTTGTAAGTCAGGTTTTTGGGGACATTTATTTTTTCCAGGGAAATTATAGGAGACAGAGATATAGGAACAGAGCTTAAGCCAAGGCACAGGTAGACTCATTTGGACTCCATTGCATCCACATGAATGAATGCCACATGGTAATAATGCTATCTCACACTTGCATTGTGTGGAGTGTGGAGCATATGCATATTAAACATATTATATTATTACATCGTGCTTTTATACACATTACATTATTTTATCCCCACAATGGATAAGTACTTGAATGCCACCTAAATATGGTTTCAAAACTCATTAAAGAAGCACCATTTATATATACAAAATAATTTGGAGAGAAGCAAAGATTGTTAAATTTAGTGATGTTTGAAATAATCTGTCAGTTGCTGAATTCTAAGAAGTTTTGTAACACAATAAAATCATAATGAATTAAAATGATTTATGAATGTAGATATAACCTGAGAAACATTATTCTGCACATAGTTGACATCTCTGCCTGTAGAAGAACCACAAGGGCCTAAATCTAGAATGTACAAAGTACTACTTAATACTGATATTTCCTGGTGGAGAATGAATTTCCAGGTGTATAGATTTTGTTCTTTATGCTTGGTAGCCTATATTTCTTGCAAGATATTAACTCTCTATATTAATTTAGTCAGATTAATCAAAACCATAATGGCATCTTAAAGCAGGTAGATTTTCCCAACTAATCCTTAATAAAAGAGCTGCAGTATATAATAAGGTTTAGCAACTGCATGACACACACCCAAGGGAGGGTAGGTGTGAAAGAGAGAACTTGGAAGAGCATTGAAAGAGGAAGTTAACAGATAATATGTTTTGTTATCACAATGCCAGGCAATAATTGAACAGCTCTTTTAGTTTGTTTTTGTATTTTACTTGTGTACAGAGTAGCAGCTCAGAGCCTTTTAAAATTTGACTAAAGACGAGTGTGTACTATTGAGGAGAAAAGAGCTTCTTGTCTTCAAGTCTGAAATTCTTCATTTTTGGATACTTATTTTTAATTTATTTTATTTTTTTTTAATTTATTATAGTTTAAGTTCTGGGGTACTGAAATCCTTCTTTTAAAATGTGCAAAACAGTATTTCTTTTACATGGTTATGCTGAGGCCAGGGTTCAATCATGTCCAACCATCTGAATTCCATGGGTATGAAAAACTGAATTGGAAAATATGTAGATAAGACTGCTTAGCATTTGTTTCTAGGCTAGAAAAAAAATCTCTCTGTATATCTTTGTCTTCTTTCAACACACACACACATACACACACACACACCACCTGTATGACCCTAGGTGAACTATTTTTATAGAAGGAGATGTTCCTTTGTCAGAGTAATCAGCATGTGCCAGGCCAACAATGTAAATCTTGCTGTAGCACTTCCTTTCAGGCCAGACTATATCCAGAGTTTAAATCCACCAAGGTACTTGCCTTTCATGCTCTCCAAAGAATTTGCTTTACATTCCTCTTGAAAACTAGAACAAAACAAGGATGCTCTGTCTTACCACCCCTATTCAATGTAGTACTGGAAGTCCTGGCCAGAACAATTAGGCAAGAGAAAGATATAGTAGGCATCCAAATAGGAGAAAAGGAAGTCAAACCATCCCTGTTTGCAGATGATACAATTCCATAGTACAAAACCCAATAGTCTCTGCCAAAAGGCTCCTTGAACTGAAAAACAAATTCAGCAAAGTTTCAGGATACAAAGTCAATATACAAAAAATCAGCAACATTCCCATTTACCAACAACATACAACTGAGAACCAAATCAGGAAGGCAATCCCATTTACATTAACCACAAAAAAATAAAATACCTAGGAATACAGCTAACTAGGAAGGTCAAAGACCTGTACAATAAGAAGTACAAAACGCTGGTCAAAGAAATCAGAAATTACACAAACAAATGGAAAAACATTTCATGTTCATAGGAAGAATCAATATGAAAATGCCCATACTGCCCAAAGCAATTTACAGATTAATCAAAACCATAATGGCATCTTAAAGCAAGTAGATTTTCCCAGCTAATCCTCAATGCTATTTCCATTAAACTACAAATGGGGCCAGGTGCGGTGGCTCACGCCTGTAATCCCAGCACTTTGGGAGGCCGAGGCGGGTGGATCACGAGGTCAAGAGATCGAGACCATCCTGGTC